TTTCTGACTTGCATTTTTAATGGAGATAAAATGAAGCATTTAATACATGACGTAGATGAAGACATGAATGAAACTACAGACAAACTTAACTCTTCTCTCATTCTTCCTTTCAGCAAAGATTATGAATTCTGTTCAAATGGTGTGTATTTCTATTGTGGAAAGATGGGTTCAGGTAAGACATTTAACCTCATTCGTCATATACTCATAACAGAGCGTTTAGGAAACGACTCTTACTATGACCAAATCATTATATCAGCAACTTCAGACTCTATGGATTCAACAGCGAAAACATTCATGAGTAAAGTTCAAGCATCTGTCGTTAAAGTTCCAGACAGTGAACTCATTGAATTTCTTCAACGTTACATTCGACGTAAGAGGAAATATTATGCCATCGTAGAGTTCATACAGTCAGGAATGCAAAAGACTTCTGAGGAGATGGAAAGAATTATTGACAAACACCACTTACGTCAATACTCAGGAGTTTACGATATGAAACGACTGACAAACTACATTCTATCAAAACTTTCAAAATACCCCTTCAAAAAGTATCCTTCAAACACTCTGCTCGTTTGTGACGACTTCGCCGGAAAAGGTTTAGTGTCAAAGCCTGACTCACCATTAGCTAACATCATAACTAAAGTCAGACATTACCATTTAACTGTAGCAATACTTATGCAAACATGGCGTTTTCTTGCTTTAAACATAAAACGTCTCATAACTGACTTCGTTATCTTTCAAGGTTTCTCACGCTATGACATTGAACTCATTTGGAAACAGTCAGGTATAACATTACCTTTTGAAGAAATTTGGGAAGCATATAAGTCTCTCATCTCTCCTCGTTCATACCTTGAGATTCATATCATGACTAATACCATTAAAGTCAAAAATATTCCATGGGAACGACCAACATTGTTTTAAAGTTTAACCTTCAATTGACTGATGGTAAACAAATTCCATGCATCTCTGTCGCCATTTCTGTTAATATTTTTGCTGTCATTCATATCATCCACTTCCCCATCCGTTAGCTTTTGAGGATATGCGTTAGAATAGCTGTTCTTAAATGAAGGCTTTTCACCTTTGAGAGCATAAACTCTATAACTTTCTGCATACTTTATGTTTGAACCTCCTGAGCCATCATTGACATAAATTTTTATAGGCTTCCACCCTTTGTTCATATTCCTGCTTCTTCCCTTTGCTCTTTTGTTCAGTAGTTCTACATCTTTATACACAGCTCCTGTCTCAGTGAATTCAAGAATATTTTCATTCGTTAGCTTTACATTCAAACCCTTGTCGAGTATATTGTTCATTTCATACATATAAAAGGTTTTTATTCTATATGAAATGAGAAGCAAATCCATCTTAGCTGGTGCTGTTAATGTTCCAATTGAACCAACATCAAATGTTGACTCACGAACGACAAACAATATTGTCATAAAGAACTATAGTTCAGAGTGTTTGAAAGAAAAAGAACCAGAGCTGAAATCCGTGAATTTAAACACAGCTTCAAACGCTAACGCTACATCAGATGTTAAGTTAGAGTATCCACCACTGGACCAAATTCTTTCAAGAGAAGCCAACGACAACCCTTACATAAATGTTCAAACAAATCCTTCAGATAACGTAGACCATTACCTTCTTCAGTTATACCAAACAATTTTACTCAAAGACGATAAGAAGCTTTTGATAAATCTTATAAGTAAGAACCAAATAATTCTAACAAAGGAGGACCTTGAAAATGTTATATCACGAATAACAGGAAAGCAATGTGTCATTGACTATCTCGACCCTGAAATCGAATGCTGTGGTCAAACGCCAATATTCATGAAAATAGGTAACATCCGCATCATTGAAACACAGGAACTACAGGAGTTGAGTTTAAGTATAAATATTCGAACGAGTATACAAAACTTTCAACAGAATATAAACTTTGTTTGAAATATGTTTTAGTAAATTAAAGCAGTCAGGAGGGCTCTTTGAGCCCATCTTGGCGCTTTGCACCGTCAGTCAAAAAAAATTTCAAGTTAGCAATTTGTAATATCTATCCAAAACTTCTTCAACAGTATCGAACTCATCTTCATAATGCAAACCTAATCTTATTGACTTGGTACAGTTTTCACTAACACAATATTTTTCTGTTCTCTTGACTGACATAACTAATTCATTTGTTTCATCAAACAGCAACAACCAAAGTTCATGACCTAATTAATAACATTCATACTTTATATTTTTAGCTCTGAGTTCTCTTGTAAGCTGTTGCATTTAATATTTTCTAAAAAGTCAACTTCAACAGTCATTCGCACTGGTGCCTTCAGTTCTACAGGCTCTCCTTGAAAGTCAACAAGTCTGAATTGCATGTCTTTCAAATTATGAGGACTAATGCGAACCCATTTACCTAAATGAGTTGCTATGACAGGAACGTTTGAATGAACATTGAATTGACTGCATAACAGAAGGATTTATATTCTACTGAACCTTTACTATTAACTCCTGAAATACCTGTGACATTAGCTATTTTTGACTCAATGTACAAACAATTGCCATAACATACGTATGGAACAGATTTCATCTCAATCGTTTTGTCAACACTTTTCAAAGGAAATGTCATATGGTATGCACCCAAAAGAAGTTGTACTCTATGACTCATTCTTGGTATCTTAAACTCCTTCGCATAACTGAACTTCAAAACTCCTGCAATAAGTTTAACATTCATTAAGTTTTTCTTCGTTATCCTTGTTTATTGTAGTATTTATGAGAGCATTTAACACTCCAGCTAATGTTTCCATCTTATATTCTACATTATTGTGAAATCTTATTTCGTGCTTCTTTCCATCTATTTCAATCTCCATGAAATCTGTTTCATCTGTTATAACGAATGAAGCGATAGTATTGAAGTCAACCATTCTGAATGCAAGCGCCTCATTCTGTAGACCTAAGTTTGTTTGTAGCTTTACTGTCCCGTATTCGTTTGGGTCTGTACTTTGCAAATAGAACAACATTTTATTCTCATTAAAATATGAGTATAGCTGCATATGCGTATGAAGCTGACAGAGCTAAACGTTTATATTTTGGTCAATACTCTCTCACACTTACTGACAAATATATTGTTATCACTGATGGAAATACTGAGAAATACATAACATGGAAGGACTATGAAAAGTTTGACCCTATTTTAACTCCATGTACTATGCCGTTTATAAAGGACGGTGAAATTATTGAAAAAGATAATACAACCGTATATAGGTCTGTTTATGAAGCGTTAGAATATATGTTGAATTATAATCCCGAAAGATTTTGACCAAGCACTACACATGTGCAATGCCTTTTATTAAGGACGGTGAAATCGTAAGAGTTCCGAATTCAACGGTTTACACAGCTGTTCAAAACAGTTTACAAAACATTTTAGCGAATATCTTTAATTCAGAAACTACAGAAATAAAATTACCATATATAACAGATGCTAAAGAAATTAAATCAAAAACGACAACATTATTTACGTCACTTAATGATTTAATGACTTATATCATTAATATTCCTGCACCAACTACAGCATTTGATCCAAACTCGACGGTTTGCAGTGTACCTTTCATAAATGACAGTTCATTAATTACTTTAAGGGATTCGACAGTAAATGAATCATTAAAGGCGTCATTAATGAAAATCATTGATTTTAATTCATTCACGAATACATATAATTCATTCATTAATGTTTCATATGCTTCTAAAGAAGGTGAGCCAAAAACTATCGATAAAGCGGTGTATGAAATAAAGCATCAACGACGAAATTGAATTCGTTAACTTTTGACGGTGATAGTTTCGTTAATGACATAACATCGGGGAAAACAATTTTAACGAAAGAATACTTAAAATCTCATGTTAGTGAGTTCGTTGAAATTGAAAAAGAAGGTGGAATTAAGTTCGATCCACTGAATTTCATTTTCAGCTTAGCGAATGCGGGTGTTAGTTTCGCTGAATGGACAACTATACAGAGTGAAATAAATGCAATATGGACGTTTTTGGGGTCAAAAGCGGGAATGTGTGAGCTTGTAAATGCTGCAAGAACATTAGGTGAAACAGGAAATTTTGTAGATGGTTTTAAAAGACTTGTTTCAAATGTTTTAACAAACACAAAGAAATTATTTAGATATACCATACATAACGGTCAGATTTTCGAACAGGTAGCAACAAACCCTCCGGTTATGGCTGCGTTGATGATGGTTAGAGATATAAAACCACGTAACGACGGGAACGAAGAACATGAACAACAGGATACTGGTCGGGTTATTCGAGACATTAAAAACGTGTATCCTGAAGTTATTGATTTATTTAGAGGAGTTAATGATTCAATTTCAAAACATTCTATAACCCTCGATGAAGAGAATAAATTAACAGATTATATATTCGTCATTATTGCAGAATTAATGAAGAGAATAAATGAAAAAGGAATTGGTGATATCATTAATGTCAGCGATGTAATGATGAAAAGAAATTTTGACTCATTATTTACAAAACCGAAAACAGAATATAGTCTTTATGACGTAATTACCGAATTAATGAAAAAGATTAATGATAATAAGAGTTCTGGCGGAAGAGTTGAATTAGAAGTGAATGATGTTAATGAGAAATTAGCCGAAAAAGCAGACAAAAATGAGCTTTTAGCTCTGAGTGATAAAGTCAAGAACCACGTTCATTATATAACTTCAGACGAACAGATTATAACGGACTACCATGGATATTTAACACGAAGTGATGAAGTGAAGACGGAAGACCCCAATGAAAGAAGATATAAATACATTCGTGCTAAAGGTTATGACATAAGCTGTACTGTACAGTATGACACGGGTAAAGCACCAGAAGCATTTAGTTATAACGATGAAATTTATGCCTCTACTTTCTCTGTTAAAGGTGTATTAGTTGAACCAAGATTTACTTTGAGAGTTAAGTCAAAAATAACGTTTGAAGATGCTATTAAAAGTAAAGCTGACAAAGTTGAACTCGAAGCAATGAACAAAGTTTTGAAATCTCATAAACACAACATCTCCGATATAAATGAACTTCAAGCTACATTAGACAGTAAAGCCGACAAGAACCATACACATAAATCCTTCACTACTGTTAGAGCAGACGACATAATATTGAACTATACCCTTGGTTCAAGTGCACCATTAGAAAATCCAAGTACAAGCGTAAAAGATACACTAAACTCCTTAAATAGTAAATGTATGAACATTGAAGGTCATGTCAGAAACTTTGAAACACATGAACTACCAGCAATGTTAGATAAAAAAGCAGATAAAGAACATACGCATAACTCCTTCTCAACTGTTGCTATAGAAAGTATTGAAGGAACGGTTGGCGGAACTGGTGGGGATGCATTATATTATAAACCTCCTAACTTTCCACAAGGTTTAACATCGAATGAAAACATAACAACGAAGAAAGAAATTAGCTGTAAAAATGTTTATGTCATGGACGATGAAAATAATGTTAAATTCACTGCTCAAGATTTATATGATAATAAAGCTGACAAGAACCATACACATAAATCCTTCACTACTGTTAGAGCAGACGACATAATATTGAACTATACCCTTGGTTCAAGTGCACCATTAGAAAATCCAAGTACAAGCGTAAAAGATACTCTTAACAATTTAGATAACAGTTGCAGGAATATCGAAGATCATGCCAGAAACTTTGAAGCATATGAACTACCAACAATGTTAGATAAGAAAGCAGACAAAACAGAGCTTCAAACATTAAAGACAGAAATACTTCAAACATTATATCCTATAGGCTCTATTTATACGTCAATGAACTCAACAAATCCAGAAACAGTTCTGGGTTTTGGTACATGGAAGCAGATTGTAGATAAATTCTTATACTGTGCTAGATATTCAAAGCAAACAGGAGGTTCGAAGAAAATTAAAGAAGCAAACCTTCCACCGCACACTCATACAGGAACTACAAACACAACAGGTAATCATTCACATTCAATAACAAAAAGAGGTTATACAAATCTTGCAGCGGGTTCGGATAGACAGGGAATGAATAGATATGATATTTCAAGTGACCCAGTAGATTCAAGCACAGGTATTTTCTGTGGAACCACAGGTAATCATTCACACACTTTCACAACAAATCCAACAGGCTCGGGTGCAGATTATATGCCACCATTTGTGACTGTATTCGCATGGTACCGCGTTCAATGAACGCGCTTGAGCCTAGAATAAAATCTTTAACTTTACATAAATGAGCTTGAAAGAAGTATTCGAACAACATCCATGGAGGTCATTTAAGAAGTTCAATGAAGCTGCAAAGAGTTGGGGATTTACTAACAGAGCTGAAGTTAAAAAGTTCTTTGACAAAAATGTTGTACATCAAACAAAAATAAACCCTTACGACTACTTTTTACCAATTTACTCCAACACTCCGACGCATACCAATTTGACACTCTCATTCAAAGCAGAAAAGGAGGACATAAACCATTCCTCATCTTCATAAATGTTAACACTCGCAAAGCTTTTGCGTATATAATGAGAAATAAAGGAACTCGTGAAGTGTTAAGAGTTTTACAAAAGTTTGTAGCAGAACATAACCCAAGTACTTTAACATCAGACCAAGACAGTGCATACCTCAGCAACGAAATCACAGAATTTCTCATTAAGCATAACATAACTCACTACACTACTGAAGACCATAACCATAACATACTCGGCATCATAAACCGCTTCAGAAGGACTCTCAGAGATTTAAATCAAGAGCGAGACTTTACCGAAGAAACAATGAAACATTTTCTCGAAGTATATAATTCCTCAACAAATTCTACAACAGGACATACACCAAATTCAATGACACAACAACAAGAAGAAAAGTATATACAAAAGAAACGAAGCCAAACACACAATATCAGAAATTCAACACAATTTACCCTCATTCCTGGTACAAAAGTTCGTGTAGTTCTTGACGACAAACCGTTGACAAAGAAACGTTTAAGGTTAAGTCGAAATTATTATATCGTAGACTCTACGCAAGGTAATGGATATCTTATAAAAGCTGCTGACGACTCCATAGCATTTTACCCTCGTCATAAATTAGTCGAAAGTAGTAATGGCAAACTTGCTGAAACCATTGACGAAGCAAAGCGAGGAGTGGTTATTGAAATACTTGACTATAACACAAACGATGACACTTATAAAGTAAGATATGAAGGAGGCGTTGAAGATGTTATACCATCTAAGAACTTGAGAGAGTCGAAGCCAACACATCTGGGACCATTAGAGCGGGAGTACTGGAAAGACAAAAATATGCCAGAAAGAATAAGAAAATTCTTCTAAACTTTTTCATTAGATGTAAATCAGACAAAGCATTTACCAGAAAGAATAAGAAAATTCTTCTAAACTTTTTCGTTGGATGTAAATCAGACAAAAATATATTTTAGGTGAAGAGGTGAGATTTCACCTGTTTTCTCACCTGTTTTTTCACCTGTTTTCTCACCCTCACCGCTTAGCGGCTCAGACCCTTTGGGTCTCGTGAATTTTCATGAATTTCCTTAAGATAGAAAAAATAAAGTTAGTTTTATTTTTATTTATTTTTTATCTTGTATGTAAAGATATGATTTCAACAATAGGTTCTACAACAATTCAAACAACTACAGCACCAAACTCTTTAGTCATGAATCCTACATCTATGTTAGTAGAGATGAAAAGCTTCATTCCTTCTTCATATACTTTTGAGACAGAAATACAAAGAATTAAGCAAGAACTTTTAACAAGTAATTTAGACTGTAGTGCGAAAGATGAAACAAATGAACAGTATCTTTATGACATGCAGGACATTATTGACCATTTACCCAAATTGCCTGAAATCCAACAACAAAAGCTCACTATTCATGAATTCGATGAAATAGAAGTGAAACCAACTGACTCAGTAGAAATAAAGAAGTTCATACGTAGAGTAAACTATGAGTTTCTAGGATATCATTGCAACCATAAAGTTATGGACAAAGATTGCGACATGGTATATAAGAACATCTCTGACATATATAAATCTGGGGAGTTTAAGACATACGACAACTTTGTTTCATTAGTTGCTGAATGTGTATGGCAGATAAGAGATAAAGATAAAAGATGTAAAATATGGAATGGACAAATAAAACCAACAACTTTTGAGTTAAAGAAAACCATTGACGCCTTAGTTGTTCTAGCAGGTCAAATTTCAATGTATAACGCAAAAATGAACCCACAATGTTCAAAATGTAAAGCAGCAATAAGGAAATATAACTATTCTGTCAAAGAGATAGAACGTATGAGAAACGACTATGCTGACTTAAAGAAAGAAGTAGAGAAACCAGCAGAAGATAAAATGGACATGTTAGCATTTCTGAACAAAAACTATCCAACAGCTGACGATTTCCTATTATCTGATGTCAAGAAGAAGTATAAAGAAACTTTCGGCATTGTTAAAACTTTTGACATACTGACAGAAGAAATAGAAGCTACGAAATTGTTTAGAATTTCAAATATACATCGTACAATTCATGTAAAACGCTTATAAAATAACTGGGGTGAAAAATTAGGTGAGAAAACAGGTGAAATCTCACCTCTTCACCTAAAATATATTTTTATTGAATTCAGCAACAAAATTCTGAGTAAAATAATTTTTAGGGCATGTGTCAAACCGTTGAGTTTTCACAAAATTTAAAAAAATAACGTTTACCATGTAAAACACTTATAAAATAACTGGGGTGAAAAATTAGGTGAGAAAACAGGTGAAATCTCACCTCTTCACCTAAAATATATTTTTATTGAATTCAGCAACAAAAATCATGAATTTTCCTTAAGATAAAAAAATAACGCTAATTTTTTTCTAAGAAAAATTTTTATTTTGTATGTAAAGACAGTAATGACAAACATTGAGTTTGAAACAGTTAGAAAGGTAGACAATGACACCAAAGTGGTTAGAATAGGTGATTTAAACGTAAGATACTCAAAGAAATACAACAAATATTCTTTGTCAGACATTATATCTCCATCTGAAAAGAAAACAAACCATTGGGTTAGAAATGCTTCAACTCAGAAAATTTTGACAAGAAATCCTGAGCTTATGATATCAGTAAGATTCTATGGAACTACAGCATATCTCATTGACAAAAGTCTTATACCAATAGTTTTGTTATGGATTGACCCAGTTGTTGGATATAACTTCATAACTTATGGTTCATTCGATACGGAACGTTGCAGTGAAGGCTTACTTTACATCGTTCAGAAACCGAAGGACTTCAATACAAAGAGATATAAGATAGGAAGAACATATAATATAACTCAAAGATATGACAGTACAGTCAATAGAGTCAAGGTTGTGTTCGTTAATGATATGAGAGCTGCAGAAACAGAACTACTTGAAAAGTTTGAGAAAAATGTATGGTGCTCCCATGAAAGGTAAAGAAACGTTTGAAGTAGATGAGATAGATAAAGCTATAAAATTATTTGACGAAGTTGCTGAAAAATACATGTAAAGCGTTTATTTTTGGTCTTTTGTGAAAGTCGAAAAATAAAGTTAGTTTTATTTTTATTTATTTTTTTATTTTGTATGTAAAGACAGTAATGTCAACATTAGAGAACACAACAACTGCTATCGTTCATGAAGCCATAAATGAAGAATACGAATACATACAATATAACAAACAACTTCGCCTCATTCGTTCGGTCAAAGATGACATGTACCAAATGCAAAGTATAATGAATGCTCTTCGTTCTACAAAGCAAGCATATCATTGGTTTGAAAACCAACAGACAAAAGAACTTTTAGAAGAATTTCCTCATATGATTGCTTCCCTCGGAAAACCGAGAGAAGAGATTCCATTCGAAAATCGCAAGAATTTGGCACCTGGTTTGAAAGGTTATTATGTTCATAGACTTTTAGTAAATGCTGTAGCAATGTGGGCTTCACCTCGTTATGCTTGTTATATTTTCATGATGTTAGATGAACTATATAAAGCAGAACATGGAGAGATGGAAAAGAAACTTCAAGCAAAAGATGAAGTCATTGAATCCAAAGACAAAAGCATACAGAAAAGAATACCACTTTCAGTACCAAAAGGAAAGGAAAAGAGTTATAAGTATATGATATATACTGAAGAGTTGGAGAAAGAAGAAGATAAAGATATGGTTATGTTGCATTTAGTCAGAAGAAACAACAAGAGCTTTTATGACCTTGCTAAGATTTACAAATCTGACAGAAATTGGTTCTATCGTGAAAACTTACCGATTTCAATGACACCGAATGAGCAAATAAAGGAAATTGTCAAAAGTACTCTTCCTCAAACACACTATGACATCAAAAGTTGCCACAATACTTACATTCAAAGAAGACTTAACATTACTGAAGGAAAAAATAACAGAATATTTCGATAACTTCAAAGAGGAAGAATGAAAAAAAATCTCGTCGGGTGCCACGTTAGAACCATAGTGGAGAAAACCATGATAAAAACAAAACGCTCCATGTCGATCATAATCGACGAAGTGCAAATCTTCACTTCGTCAAGTTTATTTTGTTTTTACCATTTAATTGCTGTAAAATGTCGATATGAAGACTAACCAAATATATTTTTGCTTAAATGACGTCAGGGTCAATTTCTTCAACCATTTCACTTCCTTCGTCAATGTCAATAGAAGCTTCTTCAACCTTTGTAAGAATTTCTGTATAACATCTTTGTTCGTTATTGTCTTCAGAGATGAAGGATAATATTTCACAATTTGTTTCACCCTTCTTATATTCTTTCTGTTCGGAAAGATTCATAGCAATACTGAAGAAGTCAATGTTAGAGTTCTTTATGACAGTATAATGAGTATCTTTGACATTCACGAAGAAACTCTTTTGTTTCAAAACTACTGCTAACTCTTGTGAAGTATAACGTTTGCGGTCAATGACGATAGCTAATGGTCTGACATACTGACCGAACTTAGATTCTTTCACAAACTTTCTTGTTAAAGATAACATTAACGTTTGCAGCACCATTGAACTCATTCTTGATGGCAGTAGCGAGAGCATTGTATGAAAAGAACTTGCAATCTTGCATGTGTTTCATTAAAATAAAAATATTAAATTATTTTGAAAAATAACTTAAAAAAAATCTAATCTAATTTTTTCAAAAAAATATTTTTTATTTCCTACTAAAGATGTATCGGAAGTTGTCTAAGTTAGAACACTCGGAAATAAAACAACTTCTTACAGAAGCTAATATAGATGTTGCAAAGCATTACGCAACAAACAAAAAAGCACTCGCTGACATCCTCAATGACTATAATGGTGCAATAAGTTATGATAGAATTCATGAGTTCATAAAGCCGCAACGCGCGAGGACGAAGTCCATGCAAGAGCATTTCCTTTAAATGACGTTGCTATTGACTTATATCATAGACGTTCAATACCTCATGAAGTAAGAAGAGAAATGTTTGACATAACAAATGCAAACGTTGGTCATACTCGTAAAGCTCTTTCGCATGATGTTCGTCAAGAGATGTTTGACATAACAAATGCAAACGTTGGTGAAACACGAAAGAGAGACGACACACTGAAACAACAGAGAAGAGAGATGTTTAAAAATGCTATAGAACAAGTTCGCAAAGCTAACGATGTCATTCGTTCCATTGACGACAAACCAAAAGAAGGTGAGAGATGGTTAAAGAAAGATGAAGAGAATAGGAAGAGAAATGTGAAGTCAGGCAATAGACTCATTGACTTTAACATCGAAGCTTTAGATGAACCAAACAGAGACTACTTACACAAACATTTCGGTAAGGTTTTCATGAGACTCTTAGAGAAGATTAAAATAAACTCCCAACAAAGATGGATGGTATGTTATAAACTTGGTGGAAAGTATGAATGTTCTACGTTAAACCTCAATAATATTGGAACATTACTACATCAGCTCTTGAAGGAGAACTTTATATCAGAGATAGAAGCAAATGCTGCAGGTATTGTTGAAATGCACTATGACTTCTTCTTGACAAACATAAAGAATCTTACTGAAATAAAGATGTATGATTTAACTGAATATGAAGGCTTAACGATGTCAGATGTTAAGAAAGGAAAGCCACAGAAGCGACCATATAGAGATGAAAGCACACTGACAGAAAGACAGAAAAGATTATTGAACAGACTTAAACAAACAGGAGATAAACAAGATATAGATGACTTCTGGAATGAAATCCTTGGTGAAAAGAAGTTTTATAAGAAGAGAAGCGGTCAGTTCTGGAAGTATCTTTGCACATTACCTATAAATCTTGAACGCTACCAAATCTTCAATGAACTGAACAAAAGAACTGCAACACTTATGACAGAAGACAATTGTTTCGTTTATGCTTGCATTCAGGCTGGAGTAAATGAAGAAACTATTGACCACATGAGAGAAGTCATTCGTGTTAGAGACTTTCCTCAAAGTAAAGTACAAGAAATTTCTGACGCAACAGGTATAGCATTTAATGTTACCATTGGTTATTTCAATGACTCAAGACATAATGAAATAAAGAGATACATACCAAAAGAATGTAAAACTGTTCGAACTATTGACTTACTTCTTGTTGAAGACCACTACATGCTAAATGAAAGATTACCAATGACAACATATTTCATTCGCAACTATATAGAAATCTTGAAGGAGTGTGGTGGAATGAACATTGAGAAACAGATGAAGATTTATACAAAGAGAGAGAACAAATATGTAGTTCGTTATGATAGAACTACACCGTTATGGGATGTTATGAAAACATTGTGGGAGTGCAAATATTTCGAACCTATTTCTTATGGAGAACTTTTCACATATACTACTGACTTATATAAACAGAACCTTGCACCATTTAAAGATTTGACATATGCTCCAAAGTATTGTTTACAACTGAAGAAGAAAGCCGAGTCAAAAGAAGTAAATAAAAATAAGTGCAAGTTCATTCCTGAGCACGTTTTCTTTGCTGACTTTGAGTGTAGTACGGATGGCTTTCATAAAGCTTTTAACATCTGTTATGACAGTGAAGATGGTTCAGTGAGTGAAAGCATTTGGGGTCAGAACTGTGCAACAGAATTTTTGGAACGACTTCCTGACAAGAGTTTAATATATTTCCATAACCTCAGCTATGATATAAACTTCATCTTAAGACACATGACAGAAGTGAAAGGAACTCCCATCATTAAAGGTTCACGAACAATGCAAATAACTGGCTTATATAAAGGAAGGGGCAATTATTATAAAAGACTCTTACAGTGTTATAAATAAGAAGCTTAAACTATTTCCTGCTATGTTTAACTTACAAACAGGACCGAAAGAAGTATTTCCATATAACTACTACAGCAGTACTTTGTTAGCAAATGACAACAGAACTGGTGTCATTTCTGAAGCATGTAAGTTTATCCAGGATGCAGATACATTTATGAAAAACATAGATTCCATCAAAGGTTGCAGAATAGATGAAAACCACTTCGACTTAGAAAAATATAGCACATTTTATTGCAAACAAGATGTAAGAATTTTAAGAGAAGGTTTTGTTAAGTTCCGCAATGACATATTGAAAGAATTTGATTTAAACGTTTATGACTACGTTAGTATTTGTTCAATTGCTAACAAATTATTTGAGAACAGAGTATACTTCCCGAATGGAAATCTTTATGACCTCTCAAATAAACCAAGAGAATTTATTTCGAGATGCATTCAAGGTGGAAGATGTATGCTGTCAGATAACATGAAACAAAAGAGCGAAAAGAAACTCATTGCTGACTTCGACGCTGTTTCATTATATCCATCCGCTATAGCAAGACTTTATACTTTAGAAGGAATTCCAAAAGTATTGAAGGATGAGATGTTAACAGATATTTGAGACATTTATTCGATGACGACCAAAAGGAACCCATTGGTGAAAAGTTTATGTCTGGCTTCTTTGTTCTCATTAAGATAACAGAGATTGGAATACATAGACACTTTCCTTTAATAGTTTGTGACCCTGAACTAAATCCAGAACTTAACGTTCCCAGAAGTTCAAACACTTGCTGTTTAATGTATGTTGACCATATAACATTACAAGACCTCATAAAATATCAAGGTGTCAAATGTGAAGTGTTGCAAGGATACTATTACGATGGAAACAGAGATATTAGAATAAGAGATGAAGTAAAGAAGTTGTTTGAGTTAAGGTTAAAGTATAAGAAAGAAAAATCCTTTGCAAGAAAATATAAAGCTCATTCTGAACAGTATTTATGGCAAAACTATTCTATCTCCTATTGAGTCAAAAATAACCATAGTAATGACAAAGATGCTATAAGATATGCCATCAGAAACTACAACCATATAGTGAAGTTCGAAGGTTTGGATGGTTCAGATAAAACTATTTTCAAGCTAACGAAAAGCATTTGCAGACACTTTAACTTCTGTCCACTTGGTGTTAACATTCTGTCTATGTCGAAGAGAATAATGTGTGAAGTATTCTGTACTGCTGAAGACTTAGGAATGGACATCTTTTATAGCGATACCGACAGTATGCATCTCTACAATGAAGATATCCCTCGTTTAGCTGAAGAGTTTGAGAAACGTTATGGAAGAGTTCTCATTGGTAAAAACCTTGGTCAGTTTCATAGTGACTTCGCAGAAATAACACCTGGAAAACAAAGTTTAGCATACAAGTCAATATTTTGTGGAAAGAAGACCTACATAGACTTACTCACTAACGATTTAAATGAAGTTGCATTTCACTGCAGAATGAAAGGCGTGAAGCAAGATGTTATTGCTTTAACCGCTAATGAAATGTTTCCTGACTCTGTTCAGTGTTTCTAATGATGAAGATAAAGGTTTAATGGTTCCGCAAGGAAAATTTGACAAAGACTCTGAGTTCAGTTTAATGAAACTTTACAAAGCACTTCATGATGGTCAAGAGATTGGATTTGACTTATGTAAGTCTTCTAGTCCTTGCTTTGCTGAAAAGTTTAACTTCTCAATAACGACTAAAACAAGCTTTATTCGTAAGTTGAAGTTCTGAGGTCATTTATTTTTGTCAGCAGTGAGACCATTCGTGATAAAAATAAGCCGCTAGCGGCAAGGGCGAAGCCCATGAGGTCATTTACAATACTGCGATGGTAGAGTTTAAGAGTTGTGCTTCAATGTAGAGACAGTCCTTATGGTCTGGAGGTAAGAACACTGGGCAGTTATGGTCATGAGTGGAGAACATGTCTATCCAAAACTCACGATTGAAGCCAGTTAATTTAAGTATTTAGGGTTAGGAAGTGGTGAAGTTCTTGTATGACCAATGAACTCATTTTCAACTCCCTTACTTAAGTTTGAATATAATATAGCTTGCTTTCTATCCCAAATGCCAGGTGTTACAATCTTTGAAAATTCATTTTTCCTCGGAAGCATTGCATCATAATTGAAAACATTCTTGAATCATCACTTGGTTCAGAGATTTGAAATCTTATACGTAATGGATTTTCTTTCTCTTTAGCGACTTCATTGAATGGTGATAATACAAAACTGACAGTCATGAGTTCCATCTTCATTTTCATTAAATTCATAATGAAAGTCTATAAGTTGTGGCGACTACCTTCTTCCTTCAGTTGTGCAAGAAACTCACGTAAAGGCTGTAAAGTTTGTACTTCAATGTTGAACTTTTTCTCGAACATCTCATTAAATGAAATCATACATTGCAACAATGTTGTATCGTCTTTAAAGTATTTGTATATGTGAATGTTTTGGGCGCTTAAAGACTGTTCGTCATTTTCTATCTCGACTTGAAGTATAAAGTCAACCTTTCTGAAAGCACGTGTTATATACATAGATGTTATGCCAATGTACTTCTCTTCATTTATGTTCACAATCCAGTCTGTTGGAAACTTAAACGTTACTCTGTTCCCCTTTATTTTGACGTCAGGGTTTTCACTACTGAACGCAACAGTTAAAGGTATTTGTCTATACATTTAATTCGGATAAAAATAAACCATTTACTCTTTCTTTGCTTCAGCTTCTTTAGCTTTTTGTTCTTCCTTTGCTTTTGCTTCTTCTCTAGCTTTCTTCGCCAGCAAACGTGGGTTCTTTTGTCTTCCAGCAGCTAATGCAGCAAGTTGTTTTTCACTAAGTTTTCTCTTTGGTCTCTCTGGCTTTTGTTCTTGTTTTTGTTCCTTCAGTTCGGATAAAATTTGCTCGCGAATTTCTTTCTTCAATGCTTCAACATCTATGACCCCTTGGGTCTTGTCCATATGACTTGTCTGAGTCATTTGACTGCGGATAAAAATCTAACTTAAAACTTTAACCGATGTAAAATGAGCTTGTCAAAATCAGAGCGAGAGTCTATTATATTAAATGACGCAAGAGGAATACAACATCCTTTCTATTACGTAAGTCAGAGTAAAGATGGTAAAATATACGTAAGAAAAAGAAAGGTTCCATTAGCGAATGCAGAAAGCGACAACATTAAGGTGCATGGCACCGAGGGCGAAGCCCATATAAAACCTTCTGTTCAAACTGAGCCACCAAAAGAACCAGAAGAAAAGAAGCCAGATGTACTTTCAATAACGAACCAAGAGCTTATTGCAAAGTTCGTGAATTTCATTGAAAAACAAACCGAGTCAAAGAACCCTGACCCACCAGTGAAAGAAGTTGAGACAAAAGAGAATGTACAGTTCATTGAAAATGTCAAGAAACAACTTCCACCACGAATGCCAAGAAGAAGAGTGAGAATAATGAAGTAAATAGATATTTTTATCTGAAGTAAATACATGCAGAACGAACAGCTAAACGAATTTACTCCAGCAGAGCATATTCATCAGATTCGCTCATATTTCGATATCATAGACAATGCAGTTCAAATTGGTGACACTAATAGAAAATATTCTGACGCAAAGATTCCATCACAACCTGGAACTGCTAAAGATAACACATGGGTAACATTCAATCTCTCACCTCCTGGTGAAAATATGTTGGACCTTTACAATACATTCATTACGTATAAAATGGAAGGTCAATTTATTGCAGATAAAGAAATTGGTTCAGGTTCCAATAAAACAAACCCCCAGGATTTTGGATTGGTTTCGATGACGCTTTCTATGCAGTTGCTGGATATCAAATCCTTGCAAATGGTCGTATCGTATATTCTCAAGACAACGCAAGAGAAGAAGCATATATAACTTCAAACTCACAAACTACCGAACAAATAAAGAAAGTAGATGTTTTTCAAAGACTCGACATGAAGATGTATGGAGTCATTCGGGAACATGCAGAACAGGACAAATTGTTAGTGGTCCAATTACAGCAGAAAATCATTTGATTTTAAGCTTCGTTTAAGAATTCCTGTTAGAAGTTTTTCCATTAGAAGCTATAAGATTTATTCCTGCATTTGCAGGAAACATTCAGCTTAAAGTAAAGTTCAGTAGCGACGCCTTACAATGCCACATCTATATCTGTAAATGATATCATTGCTTTCAATCCAACTCTTAAAGTTGCATTTGCTTCAGATTCAAATCCACCGACAAATAAATTTGTTCCATGGAATGAACCATTCACTATGATAACGAAGTCAGTAGAAGCTAGTGGAACAGTTACTATTACAACTGTAACCCAGCAACTATTTCGAACAAAGATGGATTTTAATGAATGTTTCATTCATCCAAAGTCATTCTCTTTAGACCCTAACATTTATACAGAACTTGTAGAACATTATACAAACGAGGCTTTATGTTTTCCTGTTAAAGTTATGGATTGGATTCCTATGGACGGTTCATTCTCAAAGAATACAGATAGTTCAAGTGCAACATTTACAGCAGCTTATACGCCTATTAATGTTAAAAAGTATTTGGGCACTATTTAGAAAGAAAGACAACTATTATGTTAATTTTGAGAACCCTAAGTTTAAATATCTTCAGCTTTCCATGGGAGCTTATGGAAATATGCCTGCAGAACCTGAAAAATCATATGGACCTGTATTTTATGAAATGGTTGCGAACGCTTGCAATACAAAACAATGATATGATAGGATTTAATGAAGATTTATGAGGTCATTGGTGGATGATGGTAGTGTGGAACATAAATGGGATAGCTATGACAACACACATTTCTTATGTGTTTTCCAAACAGAAGTGGACTTTTGCTTCCAGCAAGGTCAAACATCTACTGCTCCAATAACATACAAAATTGTCTGTTAAAGGACCTATTGAACTA